ATATCCTTTTGTCACACTTTTTTACTTGCAAATGTTCATTGCAACGACTCATAATGACTCATTGTATTGACAATGCGGTCTGGTTTGAGGCCTCCGGCTTTTGCTATACCATTAATTCTGGATCCTCACTGGGACTCCTCTCGGACATCCTGTTCCCTGTGTCATGGAGATCCCGAAGCTCTGGATCTGCAGGACTAGTCTCTTCATGTGCTCTAGCAGTTCATCAATGGGGTAGATGTTAGTGGGGGCCAACTCAAAGTTCTGGATCTGGGCCTGTGTGGTAGCTGAGTTGGTCAGCCCACCAGCTCTCCTGCATCCAAAACCACCAGAGTCAGCTCCAGCACTGCCCTGGCTAGCTCACCCAGTGCCCCAGTAGGCAAGGGGAGGGGCCAGCTTTCCTCCTCTTGGCTCTTGTATTCCTGTGCTCATGCCACCGGGGCCAACTCTACTGGGCTGCCCAGGCTAGGTGCAGAGCGGGCTGCCCAGAGTGCTTCAGCCCTTCCATTCTCATGACCTTGGGGCCAGCTCACCCGTCTGCTGCAGGTGTCAAGAGGTGAGGGGGGAGGAGGGCATCTCTCCAGAACCCACAACATGTCAAGGCAGTTGATGGGCAGAGCCAGCTCTCCCGAAAAGGCATAATTTTATACAATGATTATTATGCTAACAAAACTGTATAATAATTTGTCCAAAGAATTATGTTAAAACTTCAATACAGTAAAAGAGAATTGTGAATCTTTTTATCAGGCTATTTTTTTGCCAGGATTATATACCATAGCAAATTTCTGGGCATGTAATGACACTGCAAATCATAGGATTAGCTTGTTAAAAAGAAAAGTTGGCTTCAAATGAAAAGTTAAGTGGAATTGGAACTGTTTAGTGGGAATAAAGCAAACCAAAGGAGTACCGCCATTTATAAATGGATGTGAGATGGTGACTGGTCACCCCTCCTCTAAGTCAGGGACTTAGCAAGAGCAAGAATGCTTTTGACTGAGCAGCTGCAGGAAGCAGAAGGCAGGAGGGAAAGGCAGGCCTCCGGGGTGGGGGTGGGGGTGAGGCAGGCAGGACTTCCTCTCCCATTTGAAGGCCTAAAGGCGACTCATTTGTCTTCCTTACTTTTCTTTCCTGCTTGTAAAACAAGAATGTGATTGTTCTGTAAAGTTTGAAAAATTCTAAACCCCATAAAGAGAAAACTAAATTTATCGTTTCCCACACTCTGGGAGTATTACTTCTATTTTTTCTTGGATATTTAAAAAATTTTTAAACAAAACCACAAAAATCCACTTAAAAAACAAAAGTTGTAGTTAAAAAAAAAAACCAACAACACTATAAAGGGCTAAAGACACGGGAGCACTGCTTATACTCCAGAGGACCAGGTTCAGTTCCCAACACCAACACCCAGTGGGGGCTTACACTCATCTGTAGCTCCAGTTCTAGGAGGGGTTGGACACCCTCTTCTGGCCTCTTTGCATGTGATGCACAAATATAAGACAAAATCACCCATACTTATAAAATTAAACTAATTTAATTTTAAGAAAGACCCTGGCTTAAAAACTAAACACGACACAATACCATACAACACAAAATTCATCATCTTAGCCATTTCTGAGTACACACACAGCTCAGCAAGTGGGAGCATTTCACATTATTGTTCAACAGCTCTCTGTAGCTTTTCCAGCTAGCAAAATGGAAACTCTATACCCATTGAACAATGCCCTGTTTCTTCCTCCCCGAAACTTCTGGTTACCACCACTGTAACTCGACTTCCTGTTTCTATGAACCTGACGACTTTAGAAATTCCCAAGAAAGGGGCATCCTACTGTAATCACCTCTCTGTGGCTGGCTTCCTCATCATGGGATATCTTCAAAGATTCACCCATACTGCACCCGTGGCAGGACTGCCTTCCTTTGCAGGCTAAATAACAACAGCCACTGCACTGTGCGCACCACATACGCATAAACTAACATTCAAGTTGCTTTTGCCTCTTGACAAATGTAAATAATGCAGCTGTGATTATGGATGTGCAAATGTATCCTTGAGACCCTGCTTTATATTCCTTTGGATGTCTATTTTGTTATATTAATTATATATTATAAATAATTATACACACATACAAACACTTGCTGGAATTGCCGGATCACATAGTAATTCTACTCACATTTTTCTGAGGAACTACCATACTGTCTTCTATAATTGTATGTGCATTTGCTTCTCTAATCTATTTTTTCCATTTAAAAATATATTTTTTATGTGTATGGGTGTGTTATACTGTGTGTATTTCTATAAATCACATACATGCAGTGCCTATTGAGGCCAGAAGAGGGCATCAAATCTCCAGGAACTGCAGTTACAGATGATTACGAGCCACCATCTGAGTGCTAGGAACCAAACAAACTAGGATCCTGAGCAAAAACAGTCAGTACTCTTAATCACTGAGCCATCTTTCCAGTCCCTGATGATTTTACTTTACTTTCTTAGCCAGAGTCTCATATAGCCCAGGTGATCATGAAGCCCAGAGCTCCCTGCATGCTCAGCAAACATTCCACCACTGAGCTACAATCCAAATCCAAAATAATCTAAGTTTTTCAGGTCATTAACATTCTTATATGACACAATGTTCAGTAACTGCATAGGAAAACACCATTTGTTTAAATTTGTGGGGAGACAGCTAGTTGTGGCTTTACAGTATTCTAAATGATAACCATATTCTCAGATAAAGTTTTATATTTATTATTCCTCCGGGTAAATAACCCCAGCATAGTCAAAGTGAAATTCCTGAGTCAAAAAATACATGAATTTTTTAACAACTCATTAAAGAATGGTTGACATACAATCAACTGCATGTATTGAAAGCACATAATTTGGGAGTCTAGAGAGATGGTTCAGTAGTTAAAAGCATCGGTTATTCTTGCAGAGGACCTGGGTTTAATTCCCAGCCCCCACTTGGTGGCTTACAACCATCTGTAATTCATACAGACATCCTATTGTTCTAGAACTATATGTGGGTCGTGTTTGTGTTGTTGGTAGTACAGCTAGTACTCACTGCTTCATGCATGTTACATGTCTAACATTCTAAGCTTTTACATGAAAGATTTGCCTGGCCAGTCTTGGTGGCATCTGCCTGTAATCCTAGCACTTGGGAGACGGAGGCAGAAGAATGCAGAGGAGTCCAGGGTCATTCTCAGGTATCTAGTGAATTTGAGGCCAGCTTGGCTGCGTGAGACTCTGCTCCAAAACGAAAAACAAACATTTCGAATTATCCACTATATTATCTATTTTGTCAAAAATCAGTTGACCATGTACGTGTAGACAGGCCTCTCAGTTGACCATGTACGTGTAGGCAGGCCTCTCTGCTCCATCAGAATGCTTGTCCGTCACAGTAATAATAGTGATGTGTTCTGAGAAACGCATTGTTAGGCATTGTGTGAACATCATGGCGTATTCTCACACAAACTAAATGTCTTCGGTCAAGATAAACTTACAAAAACTGGTTGCCTGTCGCTGAAATGTCATTAGTTTATATTTATTAGATAGTTTTTTTTGCATTAATACCACCCAATTAGGTAATATAAGTTCCCTTTTTATTGTGTTTTACATTGTTTTATTTATTCTGGGAACTTCACACCTACCTACCATGTGAAACTGAGAATCATTTTGTTAATTTTGACTAAAACAAAAACCTGCTGAGGATTGCATTGAGTGAATTGGGGGAAATTTTGTATCTTAAGATTGAATCCTCTGGTCCATGAACACAGAGTGGGCAGTATATTTAGGTCTCCATTTCTCTTAGAAATATATTCTCAGCATATAGATCTGGTATATTTGATTTAGATTTAACTCTAAACGTTTCTTAGTTTTGGTGCTATTCCAAGGAATGCAGATGTTCTACTTGAATGTCCAGTTGTTGTTTCTAGCGTGTAGATATATCTGGTTCTTGTATCCAGAAACCTCACTAATAAATTTAACCTCATAGTGACAGTAGCTTTTTGTCTGGATATACATAGTTTATTCATTCTCCTACTGAGGGCCATCTTGGTTGTTTCCAAGTTTTAGTGATGAACAAAGTGGTCATAAACACCCTTCCTGAACTGGCAACACCTGAGCGATCTTTAAAATGCGATTTTTACAACTACTTGCCGAATCAGCTCTGCATTTCCACCAAGTTCAAAAAGTAATTCATACACGATCTTTCTCCAAATTTTATGCACACAAGAATCATCTGCAGGCATTTGTTGAGCTGCATCTTTCAACATTTTATTTGGTAGGTTTGTAGCGAGAACTAGAGGTCTGTATTTTAACAAGTCTCTTGGGTTACTCCTATGCAGCTGGCCTCATTGACCACACTGAAAATGCACTAACACTAGTTCTCGCTTAGGATACACAGGTGATGGTCAATTATTTCTACCAATATCTAGGAGAAAGAGGCCTTTAATTGATCCAGAATCGAGTGGAGGCAGGAGAAATGTCTACGCAAATAGAATAAAGTTCATTCTCTCTCCTTCAATTTTTGTCAATTATATCGGTGACCCTGAGTATCTTCGACAGTAAACAGAGCAATAACCTGCCCCGGGTAAAGGAACCTGTTGGTCAACTTTTTGAGATTTCCGTCCCCAGTAAACATCCAAAGGCTTGGGATGAGTCGCGTTCCAGGAGGACGGCCTCCGGTGGTTCATTCTTGCCAGCTCAGACTTGCCCGGAAGCCAACGCCACCTGGCCAGAAGGATGTAGCCGGGTAGATGCGCCTATGTCACCCCGCCTGGACTACACCCTCTCCATGCCCAGCCCTCTAGACCGATGCTGTCATCAATAATTCAAGACACGCCTTTCCATTGGCTAGAGCCTCCACCCAGTCGCTGGCAAACGCCCAATGAGGAAGGACCTGAGAACGCTTCTGAATAATGAGCGCGCGCCCGTGACGCAGCGGCTGATGATTGGTCGTTGTGGCAGGGGGCGGGCCCGGGAGCGGGCGGCGGCGAGAGCTCCCCGAGCGCAGAGAGGGAGCGACGCCGGTTCTGGGGTTCTGACTGAAGCGCGGCGGCGGCGAGTTGTCGGGCGGCAGCATGTTCAGCTGGATGGGGCGGCAGGCTGGCGGGCGCGAGCGCTCAGGTGGCATGGACGCGGTGCAGACGGTGACGGGCGGCCTGCGCTCTCTCTACCAGCGCAAGGTACTGCCGCTGGAGGAGGCGTACCGCTTCCACGAGTTCCACTCGCCAGCGCTGGAGGACGCCGACTTCGAAAACAAGCCCATGATCCTGTTGGTGGGCCAGTACAGCACGGGCAAGACCACCTTCATCAGGTACCTGCCTCGCCGGCTCGCTGCCCCTCCGCTAGGGCACGGCCTGCCCTCAGGTTACATTCTGAGCTTGGTGGCCCTTCGCCTCCCCGGGCCCCAACCGGTTCCCATTGCGCAAGGCTCTCCTGAGTCCGGGCCCCCAGCGCATTGCGAGCCCCTGCCTTGCTGTTGTCAAGGCCTTCCTCGAGCCTGTCACCCTGACCTGGGAGTACAGGAAAAGGAGAGAGGACAAGGCTCATCATTAGTGCAGCCTAGAGCTGAAAGTGATAATGAAGGTATGCGGCTCCTAGGTGGAGAGGTAACCTTCCAGCACAGTGATAATGAATGAACGAATGAGTGAATGCCACAGTGAGAGTATTGCCGTGCCCTTACGTGCCACGTTCTGCCACAGCAGCTGCTATCATTCAGCTTTATGGTCTATAGGAAGTTAGCCTACAGTGTAGCTGCCTCACCAGCCTGTGGAATGAAGGGAAGTGTCAGGTTACTGTTTGCTAGTTTCCATTTCTTCACCCTTGACAAACTGAAAATATTTGTCGCGGTCACTCTGTCTCCGGAAGCAATAACCGGCTTGCCCAGCAGTTCCAATCACAAAGCTTCATCTGAAGTAACTCGATGAGAAATAATTTACCATGAAATGGGCTGCTTTTTAAATTAAGGCATCTATTTCCCTATATTTGGGAAGATTTGTTTTTCTGAGTTCAAACCCCTATCAGACGAAGCAAAGTGACTGAACATTTAAGATTTGGATCCAGAGTTTTGGAATTAGAGCAATCTTCATCATTTGATGTTCAACAGGTGTTCAGAAAACTGTATCTGTCTTGGGTACATGCCATTCTGTTAAGTATGACCTCCTTCTACCTCCTGTGACCTGAAGAGTTCCAAAGGAATAGAAAAGTTGTTACTACAAGAAATATGTTAAATCCAGCCCTGTAGATACACAGTGAGTGAACTCAACAAAGGAAATACACTGTGGTTTGAAATGTGAAGGAAGAGAGGGAGAAAATAATGTTGAAATTGTTTCACTTGAGGCTTTTTAAATAAGCTGAAAACAGTGTTGAATATGTTGCCTCAGAAATGAACCTAGATATATTACAGTAGCTGGCTTGTTGAAAGATGGCAAAAGGCTAATTGTGATGGTGCTTGCCTGTAATCCCAGGACTGGGGAAGCTGGGTCGTGGGGATTCTGCTTTCCAGGCCGACCTGAGCTTCATAAGGCAATCTAAGATAACCTGGACTAGACAACAAAAGACCCTGTCTTCAACAAAACAACAGCAACAAAACCTAAGAAACAAAAACAAAATAAATGGCAGACAGATGGTACATTAAGGTCTTGGTAGTAGCAGTTGTGAATTATCGGGATAGTATTACAGGAGTGAGGAGAGAACTTTAAGTAATGAGTATAACTGTTAAAACGTACTGGCGGCAGGTACATGGCCGTCCCCCATTTCCTCCTGTGTATCTGCCTCGGGCCTCCCAGTACCTGTGCATAATTAGGGAGCCTTTCTTTCCTTGATCCTGTACCAACCTAGCCTAAAGACAGTGTGTTCTGTGTGAAGCCTTGACTGGTAAACAGGCCTGAGGTAGGAGAGCACAATGCAATTCGCAGGAAGGTGTATCAATCCTCTTTCTTACCCTCACATTATTTTGTTATATTGTTATTCTTCTATGCTTCAGTTTTTAGAAGCTTTGTGGTAGAGGGTTAAAAGACAGGTCCTGAGATTTGACTCATGGCTATACCTCTTAATTAAGCCCTTTTAGAGCTGGAACTCAGTAGGAGCTGCAACCCAGGGAGGAATCACCTTAACTGGGAGCTTGGGCCAAATGGCTTGTTACTCCACAAGGGCCCAAAGTGGACCTTGGGGTCAGAGGAAGATGACTATGGACAGGAGGCTGGGTGAAGCTGCTCTTGTGGCATCTGAAATTGATTTTAGAGAGGAGTGGGGGGCAGTGATTGGTCTCTGGGAGGAAAGCAGCAGAGGGCAGCTGTCCTGGAGACTTGGCACTTAGAGAGGAAAACAAAGGAGAAGGCCATGAGAGCTGGCCTTCTTGGACCTTGCTTTAGATAGGTCCTGGCTAGGGACCTGGGTGCTTTGCTTCTAGCTGCGAGCACTATGTGTTCACACACTTGGGGAAGGGGCTTGTCTGTAAAGTCACTTATTCTTTTCCATCTGACTAACACAGGAGCCACAGAACCATGGAGGGAAACATTCCTCTTCAGTGTGAGCCATTCAACATAACCTTTGATTTTGTGTCGTACTCCTAAAAGCTTAATTTTTCTCTCTTGTTTTGGAGAAAATAGAAGTCACATTATATGCGCAGGGCCAGGACATTCATCAGAACTGAGGCAGCTAAGTGTGTCCTTTGTTTTGTTGGAAAGGTCTCCTAGGTGGGATGCCTGAAGAGCCTGGAGTATCAAGAAAACATGCTTACTCCTGTACAGATGATCACCAGGAGGGGTCAAGCGCCAGGAAGAGGGTAGATAAAAAAGAGTGAGGTTGAAATTAAGTAGAAAGAACAGATTGGTAGAATCACCTAAAGATCGTAGCATTGAAAGGCCAGAGGAGGATTCAGATGTGGTAGAGATATTTGTCAAAGTCTCTTTAGGGTAATGGTAAAACAGCTGACAGCTCTATTGTCTGGTTATTTTATTTCTCAGAAGACAGGATATATAGTAAGAACTATTAAATAGTCTACCTCTGACTGGCAAGGAAAAATTATCCAGAGAAGGAGGAGGGATTGGCACTAGTAAAACTTACCGTATCATCTTTGATTTTAATAGCTGAGGAAGAACAGGTGTTGGACTTATGTCTAAAGCTTGAAAAGAAAAGAGAAAAGTTTCATGGGTTAGTTCAGCAGTTAAGAGCACTTCCTGTTCTTTCAAAAGACCCAGAGGTCCAGAAGACATTTGGAGTTTGGTTCTCAATACACGTCAGGTGGCTCACAACTATCTGTGATACCAGCCCCAGGGAATCCAGTGCCCTCTTCTGAACTTCATGGGCACCTGCATTTACATGTGCGAGTATGTGTGCGCACACGCACAATTAAAAATAAATTTATTTAAACATTGATTTCAGAGGTTCTTTCAGAAAAAAAAAATCACTGGGCCCAGCTGCTATAAAGGAAAATCATTCCCCTATAAAGCATGGGAGGCTCCCCAGAAATCTATTCAAACTACAAATTGGAACTTTGCTAAGAGTTTTACTTCTTCTTTTCCATCTGTACTTTGGCATATTTCCTCAAGAAAATTTATTCTAATGAGAAAAGAAAGTGACTTCAGAAACTATGTAGACTGGGTGAGGGATAGCTCAGTGGTGGTACTTACTTACCTAGCTTGTGTGAAATCCTAGATTCAATCTCCAGAACTGAAACAAAGAAACTAGGTAGGCTTTAAAGGGGCAGAGATCAGGGCAATAAAGCAGGAAAAGATACAAGCTGTGTCCAGAGTGGAAAAGAGTGAAACTGTTTGTAGACCACATGGTCTTTTGTATTTAAAAAATCTTGACAAAAGACAGAAATCTATTGCATTTGTATAAACTTGAAATGAGCAGTCTCAAAGTGACATTAAGCAAACTAACCTGTTTATGATAGCATCCAAAAAGGATGAAATATTGACACCTTGGAATAAGCCCAACAAAACAAATGCAAGGCTTCTGCCTGGAAAATTAGAGGCATCACTGAAAGAAATGAAGGAGGAACTAAATGGAAAACCACCCAGTATTTGCGGATTGGAGGCCGTATCAAGATGGCAGTACTCCTGAACTGCTTTCTGTCTCAATGTTTATTACTTGGTGGCCTGGACCCACTATATAGCCCAGGATATCCTCAAACTTGTGGTTTGCTCCTACTTCTGCTTCTAGAGTTCTGGAATTATAGGCGTATGCCGCCAAGCCTAACCAGTGTACCTGAGTTGGTTGTCAAATTCAAAATAATTTCCATTAATATCTTTGCTTTCTTATTGTTTGTTTGAGGCAGTAATTGACAGGCTAACTCTATCATTCTTAGGAACTCAGAATTACAGAAGATAGCTCTGAACGGTTTGGAGGACTCACCTTTTCTGATTTAGAATTTATTATGTAACCACTGAAAATGAAGCAGTGTGGCACTAGCAGGACAGACAGATCAATGGACAGACCTGAGAGCCCCAAAATAAACCTTCATATTTATGATCAACTGATATTTGATAAGATACCAATGACAGTTCAGTGGAAAAAGACTAGGTTCCTCAATAGTGATGCTGGGACAGCTGGATTCTCATGTGCAAAAGCAATGAAGAGAGATTGTTCATGAGTATGCAGATTCTTTTTGGAGTGATGAAAGTGCTCTGAAATTGGGTAGTGGTACTGATTATAGAACTTGGAGAGTAAGTTTACTTTACTTTAGAAGAGTATATTTTCTAGTATACGGATTGTATTCCAGTTGGGGTTGGGGTGTAGCTCAGCAGTGAAATGCTTGCCTGGTATGCACAGGGTCTTAGGTTTAATCACTAGAATTGAAAAATAAAAACAAACCAATAAAAACATTCTTCCAATACGAAGCAGCCCATCATTTTGATTTCCATAACTCTGTAACTAGTGCCTGTCAAGTAATTTGTCCATCTGTGTGTGATAATTAAAAACAAAAAGTGAATTTCAGAAAGAAAACCAAGTAGAAAAAAAGCTGAGGGAACAAACAAGTAAACAAACAAACAAACCACACAAAAAACAGAGGGAACTAAAGAGTAAATGTGAGGCAGAGGAATACAGAGAACTATCGTGGAATCCCTGTGGTTTTGTTTCTTCTTGTATGTCTTGTCAGTCAATAAACATTTATCATTCATAATACTCAAGTTGATAAAATCAGTGTCTGATGAGGATTTTCGTAAGTGAATGCTCAATAAGGACTAGAGAGAGAGATGGCTCGGTGGTTAAGAATGATAGCTGGTATTGTAGAGGAGCCGGTTTGGTTCTCCGTGTTCATAGGGTGGTTCAGAACCATCTGTAGCCCCAGTTCCAGGAGATCTGACG